GCTGGGCCCCCGCCGGCCACGAGGGGGCGCGCGCGGGGAACACGCCTGAGCTGAAGGGCGTCGGGACCTGCGCGCACCCTGGAACCCGACCCACAGGGGGCAGGTTCGACTTTGCAGCCTGAGCCGAGCAATTTCAATTACTTTGGAAAACAAAATATCAACCTTCTCCATGGAGAGCCAGAGCATCATAAGAAAGTTTTCAAAATGTCCGGTAGACAGTCCAGACTTATGCAGCAAGTGAACGGAAAGGATGCGTCAGTTCACACTCAGAAAGACGGTGGACAGGCTCCAGTTCCAAGGTTCAAGAAATGTGGCGATTATCTGACACAGACCTGAGAGTAGGTATAAAAATCCTGCAGCAAGCGCTCAGGAACACCCTTGAAACTGATGGGAAAGTAGAAAGTGTCAGTAAAGAAATTGAAGACTCAAGAAGAATAAAATGGAAATTTTATGAAGAACATGCCCTGGCTGGTGCGCTCAGTGGTTAGAGCATCACCCCGCACAGGGAAGGGCTGCGGTTCAATTCCCAGCCCAGAGCGCGTACCTGGCTTGCAGTTGGGTCCCCGCCTCCAGTCGGTCGGTCAGGGTGCGTGCAGGAGGCAACCAGTCACTGGGTCTCTCACACATCAATGTCTCTCTCTCTCCCTCCTATTGGCTCAGAAAGGCAATGGAAAAAATATCCTCAAATGAGGATTAAAAAAAAAAAATTAAAGAATATAATAACTGAAATTTTTTTAAAAAGCTTAGTTTCATTAACCCTTCCTATTGTTTTTCTGGCCTCTATTTCATTTATTTCTGCTCTGGTTTTATTTCCTTTCTTTTACTACCTTTAGATTTAGTTTGTTCTTTCCTAGTTTCTTAAGATGTAAAAAGTTAGGTTGTTTATTTGAGATTTCTCTTTTTCTTAATTTCGGTGTTAATTGCTATAAACTTCCTTCTTCTTAGAACTGCTTTTGCAGCATCCCATAGGTTTTGGTATGTTGTGGTCCCATTTTCATTTGTTTCAAGACATTTTTTTATCTCCCCCTTTAAAAAAAAATCCCTTTTGATTTCTACTTTGACCCATTGTTTGTCCAGGAGTGTGTTAATTTCCACCTATTTGAAAATTTCCCAGAATTCCTCCTGTTATTGATTTCTAATTTTATACCGTTGTACTCAGAAAAGATACTTGGTGTGATTTCAATCTTCTTAAATCTGCTAAGACTGGCTTAGTGACCTATCACATGATCCATCCTGGAGAATGTGCCATGTGCACTTGAGAAAAATGCGTGTTCTGCTGCTGTTGGATAAAATGTTCTGTATATGTCTTTAGGTTTAGTTGATCTAAAGTATGCTTCAAGTCCAACGTTTCTTTGTTGATTTTCTGTATGGATGATCTATCCTTATTGAAAGAAGTGTTCTAAAGCCTTCTACTCTTATTGTATTATTGTCTATTTCTCCCCTCAGATCTGTTAACCCTTTCTTAATCTGTTCAGGTGCTCCAACGAATAGGTACGTGTTCTTAATGAATGGACCCCTTTATCATTATATAAGTACTTTGCTTGTAATTGTTACTGTTTTGGGCTTAGTCCATTTTGTTTAAGTATAGCTACACCTGCTCTCTTTTGTTTTCCATTTGCTTAGAATATCTTTTCCCATCCATTCACTTTGTGCCTGTTTGCCCTTAAAATGGATGTGAGTCTCTAGTAAGAAGCATAGAGTTAGTTCTTGGTTTTTTTTAAATCCATCTATTACTAATGCCATTCTATTCATTGTTTTCTGTTTTATACTTCCTGTGTTCCTTCCTCCACTCCCTGCTGACTTCCTTTGCGAATTGATCATGTTAAGTGGTGGTGTGCTTTGATTACCTTCTGCTTATCTTTTGTGAATATTGGAAGTTTATGCTTTGTGGTTTCCATAAGGCTTACAGAAAACATAGACAGAGTCTATTTTCTTTATGCTGATAACAATTTAACTTCAACCTCATAGAAATAT